GAAACATGCCAATAACTTTAAAGTAATCCTAACTGGTAATATAGAACTAACTAACATTGGAAATAATATTAATAACGAGCGAAATGTGGCAGAAATAGTAAACCATCCAAAATATTATGCAGGTGCCCTTTACAATGATGGAGCTCTATTGATATTAGATAAACCTTTCGAATCTACGAATACAAATTCGATAAATACCCTGTGTTTACCACCTGACAATCTTAGCATGAATTCTGGCAGATGCCTTGTCGCAGGATGGGGAAAGGGATCTGAGGAAGCAGGTAATATATGAGTTTATGTTCATATTGTAAAATATTTTAAATAAGTTTTTTAATTTTATTAGTCGCGTCAAAAATTTCATCCATAGCCAATTCAATTTATTGTACTACAATTGTGTGATAAATTTCTCGATAAATCATAAAAACAGATCGTAGAACGTTGTGCTCACAGACGTGAACAAGTCTAGCAATCAGTTGTTCATATTATAACCCTTGGGTAATCAATATTTTTGTTTGATCTAGTTTATTTTTATTAGCCCTTACCAGCCTTAGTTTTGTGTGTATTGTTATACTAGAATTTTTCCAAATTGCTACCAGTTTCATCATAGCTGTTCTAGAAATAGTCAACCTTCTACGTATCTCTCTGTCACACCGTCCGTCATTTGTTATTAGGGACCCCAGGTATACTTAATCTAATTTACATACCGATGCACGTCATCGGCGTCATAGCCCGTGACGTCATGATACCAACACGAAATATTTAGGCGGTAGGTGTGTTCTTTTTAGGATCACTTGCCGAGTACATTGGTATAACAGCCACTAGACATATTTTATTATATACACGTAGAAATAATATTTAAAGATTTCTATTGTTAACTGAAAGAAATACACAATAATATGTCTCATTTAAATTGTATAAATGCATTATAAAGCGTTTTTGAAGAACATTTGTTCGGAACACATTGTAACTGTAATCGAACGAAGGTGATATTTTGGCATAAATTGGTAACACTTATTTGACAGTTGCGGTCTTCTAGTACTTTATTATTTTGAATTTTAAAGTGAATACCCCTTGTTTCATATTTTTACCTATTTAATAAAATCTGTTCTTTTTAGAACAAAATTAGTGTGTTTTATTTCAAAAATGCCATATAAGAATATAAATAGTCGTTGTAAAAAGATGGCAATACTTTTGCAATAATTATGTAACCTATTTGATTTAAAATGGATTCAGGATTTTTTTATATTTTGGCAACTATGTCAACTTCGATCTCTGACGTAGATAATGACGTGCAACGGTATGTAAATTAGATGAAGTATATATGAAACTATTTACTACTTTAAAGCCCCCAATTTCTTCAATGTGTTGAAGATTATTTCGAGCTGTAAAAAGGTAATAGCTGATTATTTTTGGATGGAACATACGGAAAAATAAAAAAAAACTAAGTGTTTTAAAAAACCACAACTGTTTCAGTGCAAGACATGCCTAAGTCTATCTAACCTTAAAAATCATATTTTCCTAAAATCAAGAAACACCACTCTTTCAAAGTCTCGTTTAAAATTAGTACTAGAAATACCTATGTATACATAGGTTTTCTGGTTAACCTGAAAATTTGTACAAGAAAGGCATAAGTCGACTTGGCATTATTGGGACTTAAAATTTTTAATGTGATTGATTAATGTAATTTTAGTTTGCCATTGATTTAGTGCCATTGATTTGAAGTTATTTAAGTTCGGTATAAAAAATTTAAATAGACAAGAGGTGTATAAAATATATTAACGGGGAAAAACTTTAGAGCAAATGTGTATAAGGAATTATGATAATGGTAAGTTAATATCATCTACTTACTATTCATCTACATCAACTGGATTACATTTACTTAGATACTAAAACAGACAAAGATTATGAGAACGCTGACGTACACAATAATTTGTATTTGTCTGATAGTTCAGATGTTTATGAACCATCCCATGAATCGTCATCTGGTGATGAGTTAGTTGAGAATCCTTTTAATACTCGCATAAAAAAAGGCAAAGGAAGAAATGCATTGACAAAAGAAGAGAAAACAAGGAAGAGAAAAAGAAATCCAAATGATTGGCAGCGTAATAAGAGCCAGGATGCAAGAAACAAGGGAAACCCTTATTTTTCAACGTCAAATAGGTTTGTTTCTGGAAAATTTTTAAAACCTGTTTGCTCATGTAAACAGAAACTTTATGATTGATATGAGGTTGAATGCTCGAATAAATGAACTTTGAAAAATTAAGGCAAATATCGAGCACAAGTTTAATCAAATCTTGCCCAAGTACTTTCGCTATCTACAGCATCATCAGTGGCATTTCATCAAATTTGGGCTATCCACCAAGTGTAGAATGTAATACACATGAGAATGGACATAAATTGTACATAACACTACATTAACACAAGGACAAACAGTTTAAAATTATTCTAACGCTCTACATTCTTGTCTACAATCGGAGAGAGAATATCTCCGGTTGCCGATAAGAATGTAGAGCGTTAGAATCATTTTAATAATTTTAAACTGTTTGTCCTTGTGTAAATGTAGTGTTATGTACAATTTATGTCCACTCTCATGTATATTACATTCTACACTTGGTGGATAGCCCAAATTTGATGAAATGCCACTGATGATGCTGTAGATAGCGAAAGTACTTGGGCAAGATTTGATTAAACTTATGCTCGATATTTGCCTTAATTTTGTATATAAATTTTATGCACTAGACGTAAATTCTCAAAATCAGTTTATTGCTCAGAATTTTAATTAAGTTGAAAAAAAAAAAGTTGATAGACCTCGACACAATCGACAGCCAAGCAAAAGACAGTTTACAATTTTTTATTTTCTAAATAATGAGGGAAAAAAAGTAAAAGTTTGATGTACTATGTTTTTAAATACTCTCGATATAAAACCAGAAAAAGTAAAAGTATTAGCTAAAAAGAAAATGGACTGTACTGTGGTATCTGCCCTGAACACCAAAGAGGAAGTCATGGACGCCATCAGAAAGTCACTGACGAAGCAGTTACGACAATAGAAGACAATATTAAAAATTTTCCTTCGTATGTAAGCGATTATTCAAGATCGCATAATGAAAAAAATATTTGTCTCAAGATTTAAATATTTCGAAAATGTATCGGCTATACAAAGATCATTGTAGTTCCCACAATGTAACACCTGATAATTTGATCATGGTCTGATCACCAGTCATTTCACCCTACTCCTACTGATACTTGTGCAAAGTGCGATCAGTATAATTCATTAGTTGATACAACTTCTGATTTGCAAGAACAAGCTGTTCATAAGAGAATTATAGCCAGCATCTTGCCATGGCAGATCGAGCATACAAGGAGACAAAAAATGATAAATTCCGAAGCTGTAATTCTGAAAGTGTTGCATTTTGGTCGTTTGATTTAGAAAAATGGTTAGCTATAAGATGCTGATAGACCCATGCTTCAAAACAATATTTTATGTTATAAAAGATCATTATGGATTTTAAACCTCACTATCTACAGTTGCATAAATAAAAATAAACATGCCGCTTGTTACGTTTAGGACGACTCAATAGGTGCTAGAGAAGGACAAGAGATAATCCTGTTTGAGACAATATATATTATTCTACCGGCAAATATTAATGAAATTAACATGTACAGCGACTGCTGTTCAGGACAAAAAAGAAATATTTATGTTGCTGTTATGTTGTCTCTTTTAATAGAACATTTTAACTGAAATGGAAGAGATCTTGTGATAAATTATAAATTTCTTGAACCGGGGCTTACTCATCAAAAAGCGGATATGACTCATGCAGCTATTGGAAAAGTCAAGAAATATACAACTGTCAAATAAGAAGTACCCAGAGACTGGGCGAACTTAAATAGAATGGTTCCAAGAAATCCTTCTATTGAAGTTATAGAAATGAAACAAAAAAAATCCTGAATTTCTCACAAATTATAAAAAGGCACTATGTGCATCGAAAACCAAACACTGACAATGACAATATTTCCTGGCTTCACATAAGATAGTTACACTATCGCACAGATGTACTTCAAAAAGTTTCTTATAAAACTTCTTGATTCAGATTATTTTAAGGAAAAGGATTTATCAAGAAAGAACGCAACATGTGCTACACGTTCAGCTTAACTGTCTGGGCTTGCATCAAGAAGTAGTCCATGCCACAGTATATTGCTAAAAGCCTTTTTAAGCAATATACTGTGTCCATGCGAAGTTACGCTAACACTACTAACCAATCAGAGAATTAAACTATCAGATAAAAAAATTAAAGACCTCAAGGACTTAATGCCTACATTTCTGTATCAAGCAGGTAGTTTTATGAATGTATTTTTGCTAGACCAGCACGAGCCCAAGCTGTAAATGATGAATATTTACCTGACGAGCTCATATAGTTATGAATACGATTGTAAATACAGGAATTTACTTGCTCATCTTTATTTTTAAGTAGAATATGCATCACAGATTTTTTTTATTAAATTACCTATGTCAATTCACAATTAATAATTTACCAAAAATTTTTATTTCAAGAAATGACTATGTCACTTAAGAATACAAAAAAAATAGAAAAATTTTTCTCAAATTTAAGGGACAAATTTGGTCTTATTGAAAAACATCAAATTTTGCCTTGGGCACTTTTTGTACCAAGCCACACATATATGAATATACTTAATGAACAACGCATCAGAGGACCAATATATTTTAAGATTTACTGACGAATGGACAACCTACTGCTACATGTGTTGATATAGTAGATGACATTGTTCTTTCGTGCTGCGCACTTCGTAACTTTTTAGGAAGTTTGATAGTAAAAAACACATTTTTTAATAACGAATCACATAGAGGATGTCCCATTTGAAAAAAGGAATCAGGCAAAAATTTAGGATGCCTCGAGATATTTCCAAGTGGCCGTTTATCTGCCGCATCCTGTATATGAATACGCCAGTGTAGTTGAAAAATATTGATACAAATGAAAGCAAAGGATCGCTCCAAATCCGTAGATTTACAATATTAGTTTAAAATATGATTAATAAAAATTATATGGGCGCTATTCGTGCTATATATTTTATAGTTTCAGAAAAACTTAAAAAAGCCACATAATTTTATTATTCAGAATAATGTAATATTTAGACTAATTACATAAACTTAATATTTACCGTAATCGGCAGTCATTAATTGTCAGGGAATATTACCCTGCAGTTTCATTATCAAAAAGTCATAAAAATAAATGGTAAAGCCTTGACCGACCAATATACCAAATGT